CCACTGAACCAATTCCAACCAAACTTAAGCTGAATGATCCTTATGGTATCTAGAATAAAGTTATTGTTTTATTTTCTGTTTCGTCAAAAAACATGGCCACCATGGCTAAAAATAGAACAAAGGGGTAAAATGCAGTTTTTGGCTTATATCTAAAAAACCAAAGGAGTTAAGACAAATCTGACAAGGGTAAAAGTGTTCATTAGGTGAAGTTCTATCAGCCCTGAAATTTTCAGATGAATCTAATAACCCATTGTTGGGTTGCTGCCACTAAATTGGTAATTTTCAGGAAATTTTGCAGTTTTTAAACGACCGCAAAAATTAAAATTATTTGTTATACGACCGCAAAAATTAAAGATTTTTTGGTCGTATGTAGGTATCACGTTGTCGTCGTCCAAAGACGGATGGTTTCTGGATAATAACTTTAGAATAAGTAAATAGAAATCAATAAAATTTTAACACAAGGTTTATAACCACTAAAGGAAGGTTGGGATTGATTTTGGGGGTTATGGTCCCAACTGTTTAGGAATTAGGGGCCAAAAAGGGGCCCAAATAAGCATTTTTGTAGTTTCCAGACAATAACTTGTGTTAAAGTGTATGAATCTCTCTGAAATTATACCACAAGTTTCCATACTACAAAGGGATGGTTAGGATTGACTGTGGAGGGTTATGGCTCAAACCATTTAGGAATTAGGGGCAAAAATAGGGGAAATCGAAGGGTTTTCCTGGTTAAAGGACAATTGAGACAATTTAAAAGCAGTGTAAGGGAGGTAATCCAAATCAAAATCCAAATAAATTTGAATAACAAAGTTTGATTACCTCCCTTACACTGCTTATAAATTATTTATTAAGAAATGACGATTGTCTGAGATATTGACCATAACTTGAGGGAAAGAATTATTTTTATGAATAAGGGAAAGGGGGGAGGTGAAAAAAATTGGAGGGGGACAATTTTTCTCATTTCAGATTTCAGAGATTAAAAGAAAATTTCTTCAAATATTTTTTTTGGGGGTTAATATTCAACAGCATAGTGTATTGCACAAATGCAAAAAAACGGGGTAAAATTTTTTTTTTTTGGGGGGGGTCAATTCACATAGTCTATTGGACAAAAGGGAAAAAATTGAATATAAATTCAAATCATATAACCAATTTGAAGTTCTTTGACTACAGATATTCTGTGTCAAAAATTTAATTACAATCCAAATTCAGACCTGTATCAAGCGTGAATATGGTGTCCATTTTGGCCCCAACTTTTCAGGGTTGGACCTCTGCGGTCGTATCTGAGCTGCGCTCAGCGAAGCAATTTATTGGTTATTATCTTGAATAGTATTAATGATAAAGATAAACTGTAAACAGCAAATATGTTCAGCAATGTAAGATCTACAAATAAGTTTATATGACCAAATTTGTCAATTAACCACTTAAGGAGTATTGCCCTTTGAGAACAATTTTACACAATTTGTTTATCATGTTTTCTAACTTTAAAAAATCTTCTCCTCTGAAACTACTGAAACAATTCCAACCAAATTTAAGCTGAATGATCCTTAGGGTATCTAGAATAAAGATTGTGTTTTATATTATGTTTCATAAAAAAACATGGCCTCCATGGCTAAAATTAGAACATAGGGGTAAAATGCAGTTTTTGACCAATATATCTCAAACACTTAAGCAATTAGAGCAAATCTGATGAGAGGTTAAAATGTTCATTAGGCCAAGTTCTATCAGCCATGAAATTTTCAGACAAATCTAACAGTCCATTGTTGGGTTGCTGCCACTAAATTGGTAATTTTAAGGAATTTTGCAGTTTTTATATGACCACCAAAAAATTTTGCGGTCGTATATTGGTTTGACGTTTGCGTCGTCGTCGTCCAAAGACACATTGTTTTCGCATTCTAACTTTAGTTTAAGTGAATGGATCTCTATGAAATTTACCATAAGGTTGGGATTGCTTTTTGGGGTTATGGTACCAACAGTTAAGGAATTAGGGGCCAAAAATAAGCATTTTTGTAACTTTCAGACATAACTTGTGTGTAAGTGTATGGATCTCTCTGACATTGTACCACAAGGTTCCATATCACAAAGGGAATGCTGGGATTGATTTTGGGGGTAATTGCCTCAAAATTTTAGGAATAAGGGGGCAAAAAACAAGCATTTTTCTAGTTTCATGACAATAACTTGTGTGTAAGTGTATGGATCTTTCTGAAATTGTACTACAAGGTTCCATGTCACAAAGGGAAAGCGTGGTTTGAGTTTGGGGGTAATTGCCCAAAACATTTAGGAAAAAGGGCCCAAAAATAAGCATTTTTCTAGTTTCCAGACAATAACTTGTGTTCAAGTGTATGGATCTCTCTGAAGTTGTACTGCAAGGTACCATACCACAAAGGAAAGGCTGGGATTGATTTTGGGGGTAATTGCTTCAAAATTTTAGGAATTAGGGGCCTAAAAGGTGCAAAAAACAAGCATTTTTCTAGTTTCAGGACAATAATTTGTGTGTAAGTGTATGGATCTTTATGAAATTGTACTACAAGGTTCCATATCTCAAAGGGAAAGCTGGGTTTGAGTTTGGGGGTAATTGCCTTAAATGTTTAGGAATTTGTGGCCAAAAAGGGGCCAAAAAACAAGCATTTTTCTAGTTTCCAGACAATAACTTGTGTTCAAGTGTATGGATCTCTCTGAAATTGTACTGCAAGGTACCTTACCACAAAGGGAAGGCTGGGATTGAGTTTGGGGGTGATGAATCATAAGAGGGTTCAAAAAATTGGGTTTTTTTTTTTCCTTTTTTTTTCTTTTAAATTTTCCATTTTAAATTGGTTATTTCTGATTTATATATAAAAGCAAATAATAATGATATGGCTTGTATAGGTAAATTAATTTTTTTTAAGTTCTTAGATCACATTCATTCTGTGTCAGAAACCTATGCTGTGTCAAATATTTAATCACAATCCAAATTCAGTGCTCGTATCAAGCTTGAATTTTGTGTACATACTTGCCCCAACTGTTCAGGGTTCGACCTCTGCGGTCGTATCAAGCTGCGCCCAGCGAAGCATTTTATTGGTTATTATCTTGAATATTATTAATGATAAAGATAAAATGTGAACAGCAAAAATGTTCTGCAAAGTAAGATCTTCAAATAAGTTAATATGACCAAAATTGTCAAATGTGTCCTTAAGGAGTTATTGCCCTTTAATGACAATAGTTTTTCACAATTTGTTCATCTAGTTTGCTTACTTTAAAAAATCTTCTCCTTTGAAACTGCTGAATCAATTTCAGCCAAACATGGGCTGAATGAGTTCCAGAGTATCTAGTATAAATTTTGTGTTTTATTTTCTTGTACATCAAGAAACATAGCCACTATGGCTAAAATGGAACATAAGGGTAAAATGTATTTCTTTGCTTTTGAAGAAAATATGACAGATACGAAGAACATCTCAATGGAATTTTTAAGTCACTCATTAATATATTAAAAAGCAAAAATAATCATTGGTGAAGATTTAAGCAAAACATTACAGGTGAGCGATTCAGGCTCTTGAGAGCCTCTTGTTTAATTTTGATGGGTATTTTTGTTTTGTTCCTTTGGAAGGTGTTGAGATAAACTCAGTTGGGTAAAATCTTTCAGAGATATCAAATATAAACAATCATTTACAATTGTATTGTATTGTATTGATGTATATGGACAATAGACAGACAACAAACATCTCTTCTATAAAACGATACATGATTTAAACAGTGTAAATGAGTGGACAGTCTCAAATATAATTCAAGTGTTTATTTTACCATTTTCTGCAATGATATAAATATAGATTCGACCAATGCCATGACTGCATCAAGTGTGATACGATATTTATCCACTAAAGACAGTTAAATTTTCAATTATATATATAATGAACCTTTACGGAAAGGATAAATGATTGTGTAACTGTAGGATCTTTCTTTAAGAATTGTGGATGATGTTCTTTACAACCATTAAATTTGGCTGCTTATGATTGCCGTGGCATCATGTAATTGCATGATTAAAATTGAGAATGGAAATGGGGAATGTGTCAAAGAGACAACAACCCGACCATAGAACAGACAACAGCAGAAGATCACCAACAGGTCTTCAATGCAGCGAGAAATTCCCGCACCCGGAGGCGTCCTTCAGCTGGCCCCTAAACAATATATATACTAGTTCAGTGATAATGAACGCCATACTAAACTCCAAATTGTACACAAGAAACTAAAATTAAAAATAATACAAGACTGACAAAGGCTAGAGGCTCCTGACTTGGGACAGGCGCAAAAATGCGGCGGGGTTAAACATGTTTATGAGATCTCAACCCTCCCCCTATACCTCTAGCCAATGTAGAAAAGTAAACGCATAACAATACGCACATTAAAATTCAGTTCAAGAAAAGTCCGAGTCTGATGTCAGAAGATGTAACCAAAGAAAATAAACAAAATGACAATAATACATAAACAACAACAGACTACTAGCAGTTAACTGACATGCCAGCTCCAGACTTCAATTAAACTGATTGAAAGATTATGTCTTCATCATATGAATATCAGGCACAATCCTTCCCGTTTCTAGTGAAGCTAACTATTTCGGTTATTGTTTCATTGATTTATACTTCACATATCCTTGTTAGGTTGCTGTCTTATTGGATCTTACTTCACATCCATTTTGTTCATATAAGATCAACAATTTTTTTACTTGCAAATTTCAGTTACTCATGAAATTATAATTTCTTTAACATCACAAATAACCTGATTTTCATGGTTTATTCGTCCATGTTAATATTTAAATGTACTTAATCTGTGAATAATCTACTTAATACTGGAGATTCAGTAAACATGGTCAAAAAATTATCCTAGAGATATGACAGAAGATTAATTATTGATTGAACATGTTATGTGGTTTTTGTTAAGCTATATGATTTCAGGATGTAGTTGATAAGGAAATATAAAATGATAAAAATACTTTTATTTGTAAGAAAGTACACTAGTATTCTGTTTCTTTTCAGACAGGAAAAACAGTAGCCATGTCAGGTAAGATGATATTAAATACAGGTTATGATACATATGTGCAATGTTTTTTCATGTTTTTAAGCATACACATGCATGCTGTTTACATTTTTTGTCGAGCCTGCAACTTTTGTTGCAGAAAGCTCGACATAGGGATAGTGATCTGGCGGTGGCATTAGCTAACTTCTTAAAAGCTTTATATTTTAGAAGCTAGAAGACCTGGATGCTTCATACTTTGTATATAGATGCCTTATGTTACGAAGTTTCCATCTGTCATATGTCCATTGTCCTTGACCTCATTTTCATGGTTAAGCTACTACTCGAAAAAAAAGTCAACATTTTTTGTAATGTTAATTTCCTTCTTATTATGAGTAATAGGATAACTATATTTAGTATGTGTGTACCTTGCAAGGTCCTCATGCCCGTCAGACAGTTTTCATTTGACCTCGACCTCATTTCATGGATCAGTGAACAAGGTAAAGTTTTCGTGGTCAAGTCCATATATCAAATACTATAAGCAGTAGGTCTACTATATTTGGTATAAGGAATGATTGTAAGGTGTACATGTCCAACTGGAAGGTGTCATCTGACCGTGACCTCATTTTCATGGTTCAGTGGTCAAACTTAAGTTTTTGAGTTTTGGTCTTTTTATGCCCCCGCCTTAGCGGAGGTGGCATTAAGTTTTAACCTTGTCCGTCTGTACGTATGTCCGTACGTCCCAAAATTGGTTTCCGTTCTCTACCTTGAGTTTGCCTCAACCAAATGTTATGAAACTTATACACAATCCTTATTACCACAAAACACAGATCAAGTTTGAATTTTGGTGGCGTCACTTTAACCGTTCTAGAGTTATGCCCCTTTATAAATGGAAAAATTGCTAAATTTTAAGTTTCCGTTCTCTACCTTAAGTTTGCCTCAACCAAATGTTATGAAACTTATACACAATGCTTATTACCACAAAACACAGATCAAGTTTGAATTTTGGTGGCATCACTTAAACAGTTCTAGAGTTATGCCACTTTATAATGGAAAAATTGCTAAATTTTAAGTTTCCGTTCTCTAACTTGAGTTTGCCTCAACCAAATATTATGGAACTTATACACAATGCTTATTTCAACAAAACAAAGATCAAGTTAAAATTTTGGTGGCGTCACTTTAACCTTTCTAGAGGTATGCCCCTTTATAAATGGAAAAATTGCAAAATTTTTAGTTTCCGTTCTCTAACTTAAGTTTGCCTCAACCAAATGTTATGAAACTTATACACAATGCTTATTACCACAAAACACAGATCAAGTTTGAATATTGGTGGCATCACTTAAACAGTTCTAGAGTTATGCCACTTTATAATGGAAAAATTGCTAAATTTTAAGTTTCCGTTGTATAACTTCAGTTTGCCTCAACCAAATGTTATGAAACTTATACACAATGCTTATTATCACAAAATATAGATCAAGGGTGAATTTTGGTAGCGTCACTCAAACCGTTCTAGATTAATGCTCCTTTATAAATGGAAAAATTGCAAAACTTTTAGTTTCCGTTCTCTTACTTAAGTTTGCCTCTATCAAATGTTATGAAACTTATACACAATACTTATTACCACAAAAATCAGATCAAGTACAAATTTGGGTAGCGTCACTTTTACAGTTCTTGAGTTATGTCCCTTTATAACGTTATATGCAAGCAGGGGCATTATCTGTGTCCCATGGACACATTCCCCATTTTTTTTTCATATCTTGAAGCTAGTGGTCCTTTAAGTGCATGGATGTCTCTAAATTTGTATCACGTACATTTTACAATAAAAAAAATTCTTCAAAATTTTTTTTTTTGGAAGGGGGGGGGGGGGGGGGGGGGTAACAAAAATTTTTTTTTCCTTTACAGAAAATTCTCTTCAAATATTATTTTTTTTGGAGGGGGGTACCACAAAACTCAGATCAAGTTCAAATTTGGGTAGCGTCACTTTTACCGTTCTTCAGTTATGTCCCTTTATAACTATATGATATGCAAGCAGGGGCATCATCTGTGTCCACATGTGGACACAATCCACATTTATTTTCTAATACTATATGCAATAGGTCAACTATATTTGGTGTATGGAAATATTTTATGATGTACATGTCAGTCTCGCAGGTTTTATTTGACCTTGATCTCATTTTCACAGTTCATTTCTCAGTGTTAAGTTGTTATATATACGACTGAAAAAAATTTGTTGGGATCGTATGATGTCTGCGTCGTCGTCCGAAGACACATTGGTTTCCAGACAATAACTTTAGTTTAAGTGAATGGATCTCTATAAATTTTTTTAAAAAGGTACAATACCACAAAAAGAAGGCTGGGATTGATTTTGGGGATGATGGTTATAATTGTTTAGGAATAAGGGGCCCAAAAGGGGCCAAAAACAAGCATTTTTCTAGTTTCAGGATAATAACTTGTGTATAAGTATTTCGATTGCTCTGAAATTGTAAGACAATGTTTATTACCACAAGTAGGAGTTTTGGATTTATTTTAGGGGTTATGGGGCCAACAGTTTAGGAATTAAGGGCCAAAAAGGGACCAAAAACAAGCATTTTTCTAGTTTCATGACAATAACTTGTGTGTAAGTGTATGGATCTCTCTGACATTGTACCACAAGGTTCCATATCACAAAGGGAAGGCTTGGATTGAGTTTGGGGGTAATTGCCCAAATATGTAGGAATAAGGGGCCAAAAAAGGGCCATAAACAAGCATTTTTATACGACCTCAAAAAAATTTTTGTGGTCGTATATTGGTATGACGTTGGCGTCGTCGTCCGAAAACACATTAGTTTTCGCACTCTAACTTTAGTTAAAGTGAATGGATCTCAATGAAATTTTACCATAAGGTGCAATACCACAAAAGGAAGGTGGGGATTGATTTTGGGGGTTATGGTACCCACAGTTAAGGAATTAGGGGCCAAAAAGGGGCCAAAAATAAGCTTTTTTGTAACTTCCAGACATAACTTGTGTGTAAGTGTATGGATCTCTCTGACATTGTAACACAAGGTTCCATATCATAAAGGGAATGCTGGGATTGATTTTGGGGGTAATTGCCTCCAAATTTTAGGAATTAGGGGCCAAAAAGGGGCAAAAAACAAGCATTTTTCTAGTTTCATGACAATAACTTGTGTGTAAGTGTATGGATCTCTCTGACATTGTATCACAAGGTTCCATATCACAAAAGGAATGCTGGGATTGATTTTGGGGGTAATTACCTCCAAATTTTAGGAATTAGGGGCCAAAAAGGGGCAAAAAACAAGCATTTTTCTAGTTTCATGACAATAACTTGTGTGTAAGTGTATGGATCTTTATGAAATTGTACTACAAGGTTCCATATCACAAAGGGAAAGCTAAAATTGAGTTTGGGGGTAATTGCCCAAAAAGTTAAGGAAAAACGGGCCAAAAAGAGGCCAAAAATAAGCATTTTTCTAGTTTCCAGACAATAACTTGTGTTCAAATTTATGGATCTCTCTGAAATTGTACTGCAAGGTACCATATCACAAAGGGAAGGCTGGGATTGTTTTTGGGGGTAATTCCCTCAAAATTTTAGTAATTAGGGGCCATAAAAGGGCAAAAAAACAAGTATTTTTCTAGTTTCAGGACAATAACTTGTGTGTAAGTGTATGGATCTTTATGAAATTGTACTGCAAGGTACCATATCACAAAGGGAAAGCTGGGTTTGAGTTTGGTGGTAATTGCCTTAAACGTTTAGGAATTTGGGGCCAAAAAGGGGCCAAAAAACAAGCATTTTTCTAGTTTCCAGACAATAACTTGTGTTCAAGTGTATGGATCTCTCTGAAATTGTACTGCAAGGTACCATACCACAAAGGGAAAGCTGGGATTGAGTTTGGGGTGATGAATCATAAGGGGGTTCAACAAATTGGGGTGGATTTTTTTTTCCCTTTTTTTTCTTTAAAATTTTCCAATTTAAATTGGTAATTTCTGATTTATATATAAAAACCAATAAATTAATAATGATATGGTTTGAATAGGTAAATTAAAAATTTTTAAGTTCTTAGACCACTTTCATTCTGTGTGAGAAACCTATGCTGTGTCAAATATTTAATTACAATCCAAATTCAGTGCTGTATCAAGCTTGAATGTTGTGTCCATACTTGCCCCAACTGTTCAGGGTTCGACCTCTGCGGTCGTATCAAGCTGCGCCCCAGCGGAGCATTTTATTCTAGTTTCCAGACATAACTTGTGTTTAAGTGTATGGATCTCTCTGAAATTGTACTACAAGGTTCCATACTACAAAGGAAAGGCTGGGAGTGAGTTTTGGGGTTATTGCTCCAAGGGGGGTTTCAAAAAGTTGTGGGGGTGGATTTTTGTCGAGCCTTCGACTTTTTTCGAAAAAGCGAGACATAGTGATCCTACATTCCGTCGGCGTCGTTGGCGGCGTCCACAAATATTCACTCTGTGGTTAAAGTTTTTGAAATTTTAATAACTTTCTTAAACTATCCTGGATTTCTACCAAACTTGGACAGAAGCTTGTTTATGATCATAAGATAATATTCAAAAGTAAATTTTGTAAAAAAAAAATTCCATTTTTTCCGTATTTTACTTATAAATGGACTTAGTTTTTCTGCCAGGAAACATTACATTCACTCTGTGGTTAAAGTTTTTGAAATTTTAATAACTTTCTTAAACTATCCTGGATTTCTACCAAACTTAGAAAGAAGCTTGTTTATGATCATAAGATAGTATCCAGAAGTAAATTTTGTAAAAAAAAAATTCCATTTTTTCCGTATTTTACTTATAAATGGACTTAGTTTTTCTGCCAGTTAACATTACATTCACTCTGTGGTTAAAGTTTTTAAAATTTTAACAACTTTCTTAAACTATCCTGGATTTGTACCAAACTTGGACAGAAGCTTGTTTATGATTAAAAGCTAGTATCCGAAAGTAAATTTTGTAAAAAAAAAAATTCTATTTTTTCCGTATTTTACTTATAAATGGACTTAGTTTTTCTGCCAGTTAACATTACATTCACTCTGTGGTTAAAGTTTTTAA